ACGTCAGGGTTCTCCACCCCTTCCCCGGCAGGCGACTGGAGGCCGCGACTCCCCCCTGAGCCCACAGAAACTCAGGAAAGTTGCTTCAATGTTTGTAGTTCGTTCTCTCATGAAACTCAAGCCCGGTAGACCTGGTCTCTCAAACAAAATGTCAGGCATATGCCCGATTTCTCGGAGGGCCGCGCGAATTTCTTGGATCGGCGCTGGCCCCCCTTTCCCTGGCACGCGCACTTCCGGGAAACTATACATAGATGTATATAGAATGTCTGTTGTTGTTATTCGACTTTCAGTGCCCCCCTCACGTTGCCCGCCCCTCCTCTTGCTGTCCCCCCTCCTCGTTGCCCCCGAGAGCAGCGGCGGCCGACCGTCGCGGGCGGCGCGGCATCTCCTGCCGCACGCGCCGTCCGGCGGGGCTTTCGCGTCGAGGAGCAGCTCCGCCACCCTGAGGTGGCCCATCCTCGCGGGTGGGGGCCGCGAGACGCCAACGTACAGGGAGGTTAAAAAACAAGGAATTCTGAAAGCAAGGAAGGTATGATTCTAGGTTGCCGCGTAGAGATCGCAACCCCGAAGCGAGACAGATAACAAAACAAGGAACGCCCTGGAACAGCAAGGGGAAAATTTCTGGGAGAAGATCTGTGGGTGTGTCCAGTGGAAGATTTGGCGCGGTTGCGAAGCGAAAAATATGAAGGAATACTTGGCGGAAGATCTGGGGGAGATCTGAGGAAACATCTCGGATATAATATTTGGCGGGAAGTCTGGAGGAAGATCTGGAGGGACATCTGAGGGAAGATCTGGAGGAAGATCTGGGCGAAAATCTGCGGAATGTGCTGAGGGAAATTTGGCGGTGTAGTGCGTCGTAAGTATGCAGCAAAATTTGCGGGAAGATCGCGGGAAGATCTGGAGAAATATCTGAGGGAGAAGATATGGGGAAACATCTGGGGGAAGATCTGGGTGAAGATCTGGAGGACGATCTGGAGGAAGATCTGGGAGAAGGTCTGAATCAAGATCTGGGTGAATATATTGGGGGAGCATAGAAAAAGCTCTGCGGGACAACATCGGGAAAGATCAGGGGAACGATCTGGGTGACGATTTGGAGGAAGATCTGGGGGAAGATCTGGCGGAAAATCTTGGGAAACATCAGGGGAAAGAGTTGGGGAAAGATCTGGGAGAACATCTGGGGGAAGATCTGGTGGAAGATCTGGGGAAAGATCAGGAGGAACATCTGGAGGAAGATCTGGGGGAAGAGCTGGGGGAAGATCTTGGGGAAGAGCTGGAGGAGGATCTGAAGGGAGATCTGGGGGAAGATCTGGGGGATGATCTGGGGAAAGATCTGGGGGAAGATTGGGGGAGATCTGGGGAAGATCTGGGGGAAGATCTGGGGGGAGATCTGGGGAAGATCTGGAGGAAGATCTGGGGGAAGATCTGGGGGAAGATCTGGGGACAGATTTAGGGAAAGATCTGGGGGAAGATCTGGGGGGAGATCTGGGGGAAGATCTGGGGAAGATCTGGGGAAAGATCTGGGGGAAGATTTGGGGAACGATCTGGAGGAAGATCTGGGGGAAGATCTGGAGGAGGATCTGGGGAAAGATCTGGGGGAAAATGCCGGGGAAGAATCCGGGGGAAGATCTTGAGGAAAATCTGCCGGAAGATCTGGGACAGACCAGGGGGAAATCTGCCGAATGATCTGGGTGAAGATCTGGGGAGATCAAAGGAAACATCTGGGGGACGATCTCGGTGAAGATCTGGAGGACAATCCGGAGGAATATCTGGGGGAAGACAACCGTGACCATTTCCAAAACTAGGTGTTCGAGTATCACTCGCGCGATGACGGCAGGGCATGAAGTAAACCAAAGAATTGAAAAACTATGATTTTAGAATAGGGCCGAGAGACTGAGCCCGGGCATGCCGTCCTAGTTTTTTGGAACTCCCTGTTCTCCTGCCCCTCTCCCCCTCAAACCGTGCTGCCCTCCTCCTTCGACCATGCCTCCCTTGCGGCGGCGGTGGCCCATCCTTGCGGGAGGGGGCTCCTCCTCCTCCTCCTCCTCCTCCTCCTCCTCCTCCTCCTCATCCTCCTTCTCCTTGTTCCTCCTGCTCCTGCTCCGCCTCCTCTACTCCTCGTACCTCCTCCTATC